AGAGAGAGAGAGAGAGAGAGAGAGAGAGAGAGAGATAAGGAATTCTAGAAAGAATAAAAAATCTTTTCAAAGGAAACAGTAAAAAGTTTTTCAGGCAAAGCTGAAATCGCTGTTAGCTAAATATATGCTGCCAAAAAATGACTGCATTAGAAGAAATGTTTCAAATAAATGATGTAAGCTACAACCTTAAAAAGACATCAGGAAAAGACAAAGCACCTTAACCCAAAGCAAGCTAAAGAAAGGAAATAATAAATATAAAAGCAGAAAACAATGGAAGAGAAAAGTCAATCAAACCAAAAGCTGCTTCTTTGTAAAGCTCAATAAAATTGAGAAGTCCCACCCTGGCTGGTGTGGCTCAGTGGACTGAGTGCCAGCGTGGACCGAGTGCCGGCCTGTGAACTGGAAGGTCCGCAGTGTGATTCCTCACCCGGACACATGCCTGGGCTGCAAGACAGTTCCCCAGGTTAGGAAGTGTGAGAGGCAACCAGTTGATGTATCTCTCACAGATCGATGTCTCTCTCCCTCTCCTCCTCTCTCTAAAAATAAATATATTTTTTTTGATCAGTCTAGGCCAGACTGATGAGAAAAAAAGAGAGAAGGCCTACACTGGGAAAGCGAGGGGGACATCACTACAGATCCATCCCCCAGGCCTTAAAAGGATAATATGAGACTATTATGAACAACTTATGACAATAAACTAGACAACTTAAGATAAAACGGACAGAGAGGTATCAGCAACAGAGAAGAATAGGAGATACGAGTCTCATTTTCCCCACCACAAACAAAACAAAGCAAAGCAAAACAAAACAAAACAGTAAATAGCTATCAACAAATAAAAATAGTCCTGGGAGAACGGAAGAGTCAAATTAAGAACCTACAGCAACATGGTGGAGCAAATAATGAAGAATCACCACACAGAAGGAATCACTGCAGACAGCTTAGCCGAGACATCTGGGAAAGGCTAGGAACAAGGAAGAAGGGTGGAGACTGTCAAAATAAGCCAGGAGATGGGTGCCAGGGAGGTCCCCAGCGGCCTGCTGTACAGAGGAGCAGCCCAGGAGCCTTTGCCACCAGGACCTCATACAGCCCCCATGACAGAATTCCTGCAGTTGTCACAGCACAGGCCCCTGTGGTGTGTGCTGGCGTGGACCACAACAGCCTGCTCCGCAGAGAAACCAGCACCTACGCCCCTGAGGTAACCGACAGCCATTGATGCCACTGGGAGACGCTGCTAAGTCACTCCCAGAAGACACTGCTGTGCCCCTACCCCTGAAACAGGGCTGCCAGCCCCCCACCTCCAACTCCATGCACACCCTGGACCCCAGAGTCCCAGCAGCTCCACATGTACCTGCACTTTGACCTCAGCTCCACACTGTTCCACATGTGCACACATCTCAGGCACCAGGGCCCTGGAAACTAGCCAGCACCCCGGACTGCTGTCACTCTATGCGCACACATCCCCACTCCTGGCTCTGTGGCAGACCCAGGACTGCCCATGCCTCACACCTCCACCATCACAGGACACTCCAAAGCCAGACCCATTGCCAAGAGGGTCTCCCTGGGCCATGGCATACCCCATGGAGAAAAAGACAGCAGGAGGACCCCCTGCAGCCTGTGTCCCTGCAGACTGTAACAGTTCTCACTGCCACTGCACACCTGCAGCCATGGCCACGGAGGACCCCTGCAATCTTGACCAACACTGACCTCGGCTGATGGAGCCGAATGTGATTATGCCACTTGGCCCTCCCCAACGAGCCAGTGCTCTCACACCACCTGCTGGTTTGGTGAAGGCCTTTCCCCACTAAAGCCAGTCTGTAAGTATGGAAGAGGTCACTCACTCACTGCTCCATCAAACACACAGACATCCATAGACGGCTATGAGAACATGAAAAATTAAGAGAATAAGACGCTGCCAAAGGAACACAGTAATTTTCCAGTAGCTGACCCCAAAGGAATGAGTATCTACTATTTGCCTGAAAAAAATGTTTGTTGTTTTGAGGAAGTTTAGTAAGTTGTAAGAAAATACAGTTGGACAACACAATGAAATCAGGAAAACAATATACTAACAGAACGAGTACAATAGAGAAATAGAAATAATAAAAAGGAACCTAACAGAAATCCTGAAGCTGAAGACTGCAAGGAATTAAATGAAAAATACAATACAGAACATCAACAACAGACTTGATTAAGCAGAAAAAATATGCAAACTCAAAGATAGGTCATTAGAAATTATCCACTCAGAGGAGAAAAAAAAAAGAATGAAAAAGAATGGATCCAATTAACAGAAAGAATGAAATAACAAAGATCAGAGCAGAAATAAATGAGGTAAAAACTATAAAAATAGAAAAGATCAATGTAACAAATGGCTTTTTTAAAAAAAAGATAAAACTGACAAAACCTTTAGCTAGACTGAGAAAATAAGACTCAGATAAAAAGGCTCATATGAGAGACTCTTATGAACCGATACATGCCAACAAATTGGATAACCTAGGAAAAAGATCAATTCCTAGAAACATACAACCTACCCAGACTGAATCATGAAGAAACAGAAAATCTAAATAGATTACATATAACTAATAAGGAGATTGAATTTGGAATCAAAAACCTGTGATAAAAAAAAGCTTAGGACTAGATGTCTTTGCTGGTAAATTCCACCAAACATTTAAGGAAGAATTGATGCCTATCCTTTTGTTATCTCTTATCTTTTTGGTAATAGCCATCCTAACAGGTATGAGGTGATACCTCATTGTGGTTCTGATTTGTATTTCCCTAATGACTAGGGATGCTGAGCACCCTTTCCTGTACCAGTCACTCACCACTGAGCATGATGCTAGTTGTGGGCTTGTCAAATATGGCCTTTCGGTTTTTGTATTGCTTTTAAACGTAGTAGGGGGTGGGGTGAACAATTAGGGTTTTTTTTTAAGGTTTTATTTAGATTTAGAGAGAAGGGGAAGGAGGGACAGAAATATCAGTGTGTGAGAGAAACACCGATGGGTTGTCTCTTGCACACCCCAACTAGGGACCTGGCTTGCAACCCAGGCATGTGCCCTGACTGGGAATTGAACCAGTGACCATTCAGTTCACAGGCCAGCACTCAACCCACTGAGTCACACCAGCCAGGGCAATACAATTTATTTTAAAACACCCAAACTAAAAAAAAAAAAAAAAAAAAAAAAACATAAACCCTTTGGGCAGTTAAGCCTCCTGATGTTATATATTCTTTAATGTTTTTGACACTGGTAGACAATTTCCACCTCCAAACTACAACACATGTAATGTGACTGGCTCGTCAACAAGAATTCTAACCACCTTCAGCAAAAACTGATATATACCACACTGCAAATTTACGAGGATTTTTTCTTAATAATGTGAAGGTAAAAAAAAACATCTAATAGCATTATCATTGTTATTTTCATCTAGTTATTTTTTTCTCATATCAATGTCAGCCTCTGTGTCCAAGCATAGTGCACCACGGTTATTATTCAGAGTTACTTCGCAGTCCTGTGTTAAGTGCCCAGGAGTACTGTCTGCAAGTTTCATACCTCATATAAATCTTCCAATTTGCTGTTTTCTCCCGTTACCATCAGAGATCCAGCTGAAATGCCAGATAACTCTGTGAAGCCATATCTGACTTGATTGGCACAACCCATAATTCCCCTCCCAATACCCCATAACATTTGTTCATACTACTGACAGAAATAACATTTTGTTCTAATTGCGTGTACGTGTTTCCATCTCTTGATCTTGATTATGCACTCATTCCCTGAAGTACTGTTACGTTTCTGTTGCAAGCCTAGTGCCTACGTGAAGACGGGGCATGTGGCAGATGCTCAACAGACATTTGTTGAATTTGAGTAAGTCCAGAAAGATTACGAGAACATAAAATAGGCATGTCACACTCGATGCAGGGAAAGCAGTTTTACTCTAGAAGGGTTTCTCTTCTTCTATTCCTTTGTCAGACCTGCAGATTCTGTTCTTTGAGGGGCTTTGTTTTTGTGGTTTCTATTTAGTGGTATAGCTATTTTATATTAATAATACTGCACTGGTGTGTCATTCTGACCATCTGAAGCTAAATGCCACCACTGCATTTTAAATTCTCACCTGCATTCCTATAAACTGAAATCATGACATATAACAATCTGGGTATGAGTGATGTTTTGCCAGAAGAAATGTCAGTGACACTAACAGCTTAAATTATCATGTTTGGAATTTAATGTATCCATATTGATAAATAATAATTTTGCTTCAGAAAGAATTCAAACAGAAATTCAACAATATAAAAAGCAGGATATTAGCTCACATCAAATACTTCACCATCTATAAAGATTCTATTATCATAATGTTTTAAAAGGATGACTGTTATAGATATCTATTAATGGACTTTCAAATGGAAATTTCTCCATTTCAAAGAGACTGTAAGCTTAATGAAAGAGCAATTCCACAAACACAAAGACAAAAAGAAGTACATAATAGCATTAAAGATTATCTAGTATTTAAAAGGCAAGTAAGAAACTGCATATCATTAAGAGGAATGAAAGAGCGAAAGCCTGTAAATCAAATTCTCTGCTTTACAGGTTGTTTTCACATCAAAGGTCCACATCAAATTAAGACTCAACAATGAGACAACTAGAAAAATATCGGATGTCTAAAGGAGGGCCACAAGCCTAAGAAGCAGGACTCAGATATATTTAGCACAAATGGTTAGACAATCTGTTCATACATTTTAAACTTAGAACTCAGAGAGGTGAAGAGCATGAACGTACACTGCCAAGGTTTACAGCAAGAACTAGGGCCTCCTGGCCCAGGGTCTTACTCACAATTACTTCCCAGAATAAATGTCAGCTTCTCCCTTTATAATACTGGCCTTCAATCTATGTTGACCAGATAAAAAGTACTCATCACAGAATCACTAAATAAATACTTTAAGGCTCACCAGATTTCAAAAACAAATAAAATGTTCCCACCTCAACATTTTATGTTATTCACAATTTTCTACTTACGAAGTCTTGGCGTATATCATTGAAGTCTTTGCCATATTTTTCCAGGGCCTCTTCAAATAAACTAGCTTCAGAGGCTGACCATTCTTCCATTTCATCTCTGCACAAAACAGGTCCTCCAAGGGGCACTAAGACACTAATTGCACTGCTCAAGTCATAGCCATGTCTATACAATGTATCCATAGCATGAAACTAAAGAAAACAAAATGGAGAGAAAAGATCAGCCATAAATGCAAACTTGATTATCAAAGAACAGTGCATGATGCACTTCATTAACAATAATATACTTGGATGGCATGTATTTTTTTTTCACAGAATTAAAAAAAATTTTTTTTTAAGATTTTATTTACTTATTTTTAGAGGGGGAAGGGAGGGAGGGAGATAGATAGATAGATAGATAGATAGATAGACAGACAGACAGACAGACAGAGAGAGAAACATCAATGCGCAGTTGCTGGGGGTATGGCCTGCAACACAGGCATGTACCCTGGCTGGGAATCGAACCTGGGACACTTTGGTTCCCAGCCCACGCTCAATCCACTGAACTACGCCAGCCAGGGCTAGAATTAAAAAAATTTTTGAAGAGATTACTTAACAATTATTTAAAATGTTATCTACTGCTTTAAGAAAATGCTGATTAGTATCTTTTAAGGTGCGTATCTTTTAAAATGCATCCATTTGTTCTAGCAACTTAACCATGAAGATCCAGGACCTCCAGGTATTAATCTGGGAACCCAGTAAGTTTCATCATCCTTTCCATTAAAAATGCCAAAGTTACTTCAGCTATTATATAAGGATGGCACAACCTTACTGAACAGGGAAAAACAGATTATGTATCAGACAGTGAGAAAGATATTCTCAGGTTGGACTGAGAGACTGATGTACCACGAAAGGAAAAATGGAAAGAAATCAATGGAACTGAGAATGAACGAGAGTTACAACAAAAAATTACCAGTCCATGTGAAACAAAACAAAACAAAACAAAACAAAACAGAACAAAATTAACCTTGCCGTGCTAAGAATTAACTTAGTTGGCCCTGACAGGTGTGGCTCAGTGGATTGACCGCCAGCCTGCGAACCAAAGGGTTGCCAGTTTGATTCCCAGTTATAGAAGACCATACTGCATGGCATGGACCCCACTCCCACTCGGAGATGCACAGGACCCATGCCCAAGGGTAGGTTCTCCCGTTGGGAATCAGGCCTGCAATGTACCTAGGCCACTTTGTGACTTGCTTTTGCTAAAACTCCCTCACCCTGAATTGAGGCAGCAAACATTTACTGCAAAGGAACTTCCTAAAATCTATGCTAAACCTTCCAAGAACAAGTGTAATGAGTTCAACCACTCTTTCCTTTGCATTTGCAATTATCCTTCTTCTGTGATGTGATTAGTGGCATCCTCTCCTTTGTTTTTTGTAAAAGGTAAGCACCTAAATTGAACCTGTGCATAGTAAATGAGGACCATCATGGAATGTGCCCAGAAAAGAAATAAGGCCTGCCATGGCGGAGACCACAGCTTTTGCTCCCCTTGAGAGAAAAGCCATGTTCGCCCTTTTCTTCCATAGGACTCAGTAGTCCATGTGAATATCTCGCGTCTCATCCACAATGTCTTTCTTCATCACCCAGTCTGGGCACATTCCTAGTTTGTGGACCAAGTCCCCATTAAGGGGTGCTCGAGAGGCAACCACACATTGATGTTTCTCTCCCTCTCTTTCTCCTGTCCTTCCCCGCCTCTCAAAATAAGTAAATTTTTAAAAAAAGTTACCTTGGTTGATATTTTTTAAGCAAGAACAGATGACCAGACATGCTTGGAACAGCTAGGTTGGTGGGGGTTTTCTATACATTTCAAGGGAGAGTGATATGAAGGATAATTTGAAAGAAGAAAAGATAGGTTATGATAATATAATTGACTTTTTGCAAAAGTACCTTGGGTCTAGCATTTTCCTCCCATCAAATGCAGAAAATAATCTAGGTTCCAAAAATTCAAAATTTGAGGTTTTGAAAAACTTAACAGTTTTCTACTGGAGAGAAAGCGATTGATCCATTAACATGTATGTCACTGTATGTGTAGCAGGAAAATAGCAAAACAGGATGATTAGCCCTGTCTCAGGATAAGCACATACATGTGGTGCAGATTTGGCTGACAATGTGATCAAATCTTTGCCAAGAGCTCATTTTGTTTAAACATTCTAACATATGAAAGCCAAGTCATGCAATTCTTTTAAACACAGTGTATCTTCTGATATTTATCTAAAATTTCACAAATGGAGAGGTGTCACAATCTACAAGACAAGAAGGGTCTTAAGATTTAGTGTGTAAGTGATCTGTAAGTATCTGATAGGGGGCAGTAGACAGTTCTCCCCCGGTGCAAGAACATAAACTAAGCTCCAGTATCAACTAACACCTGTTAAAGGGGGGGAAGTAGCAAAGGTATGGATTAAAAAATATATTTATGCTGTGATATATTAAGACTCTGAACAAGACTGCAGAATATAAATTTGTTGACAGACCTAAAGGCAAGACTTAGGACACGTACACATGTTTAGGCACAGCAACTAAGTGCTTTAACAAGGGTTGACATTTCACTTAGAATAAATCATTGGACTCAAATAAGCAATCTAAACTCACACGTAAAGGAATTAGGGAAAAGCAAAACAAAACAAACAAAGCCCAAAGTGTGTAGGAGGAATGAAATTATAAAGATCAGAGCAAAGATAAACAAAATAGTCTAACAAAATAACATAAAAGATCCATGAAACCAAGAGCTGGTTTGTTGAAAAGATCAACAAAGTTGATAAACCTTTAGCCAGACTGACTCATCAAGAAAAAGGGAGGACCCAAATAAAATCAGAAATGAAAGAGGAAAAGTGACAACTGACACCACAGAAATAGAGAGGACTATAAGAAAACACTATGAACAATTATGTCAATAATTAGACAATCTGGAAGATACAGATAAATTCGAAAAATACAATCTTCCAAGACTAAGTCAAGAAGAAAAACATCTGAAGAGATCAATAACTATTAATGAACCAACCATCAAAACATTCCCTACAAATAAAAGTCTTGGATCTAATGGCCTCACAGGTAAATTTTACCAAACATCAAAGAAGAATTAACACTTACCTTTCTTAAACTATTCCAAAAAATTTAGAGGAGGAAAGGCTCCCTAGCTCATTTTACAAGGCCACCATAACCATTATTCTAAAACCAGACAAAAGCATTACAAAGTAAGAAAATGATATAGGTCAATATCCCTGATGAACATAGATGCAAAAATCCTCAACAGAGTATTAGCAAACAAAATTCAGCAACACATTATAATGACCATACACCATGATGAAGTGGGATTTATTCATGAGATGCAAGGTTTGCTCATTATCTGCAAATCAATTAATGTTTTACACCACATAAACAAAGTGAAGGACAAAAATCATGATCACATCAACAGATGGAGAGAAAGCATGTGACAAAATCCAGCACCAATTTACGATAAAAACCCTAAGCAAAGTGGGATTAGAGGGAATGTATCTCAACATAATAAAGGACATATGTGACAAATGCAAGCTTTTTCCTTAAGATCAGGAACAAGGCAAAATGTCTACTTTCATCACTTTTATTCAACACAGTATTTGAACAGCAATCAAACAAGAAAAAGAAATAGAAGTCACCGAAATTAAAAAGGAGTAAACTGTCATTGTTTACAGATGACATAATACTCTGTACATAGAGATTCCACCAAAAAAAAAAAACAAACAAACCAACCATTAAAATCAATAAATGAATTCAGTAAAAGTAGCAAGACATAAAATTAATATTCAGGAATTGGTAGCATTTTTATATCAATAATTAATTATCAGAATGAGAAATTAAGAAAACAATCCTATTTACAATTGCATCAATAAGTTTGAGCAAGGAGGTAAAAATTCAGTACTCAGAAAACTATAAGACACTAAGAAAGAAACTGAAGAAGATACAAAATAAGTGGAAGCAGATACTGTGCTTATGGACAGGAAGAATTAACACTGTTAAAATGTCCATGCTACCAAAAGCAATCTATAGATTCAACGCAATTTCTATCAAAATACCAATGATATATTTCACAAAACTAGAGCAAATAATCCAAATATTTATATGGAATCACAAAAGACCCCACATAGCCACAGCAATGTTAAGAAAGAAGAACTAAGTTGAAGGAATCATACCACTTGACATCAAACTATCTTACAATGTCGTAGTAATCAAAACAGCACGGTACTGGCATAAAAACAGGCATGTAGATCAATGGAACAGAACAGGAGCCCAGAAATAAACCCACGCTTGTATGGTCAATTAATATTTAACAAAGGAGGCAAGAACATACAGTGGGGTAAAGAGTCTATTCAGTAAATTGTATTGGGAAAGCTGAACAGATACATGCAAAAAAGAAGGAGGGGGAGGAGAAGAAACTAGACCACCTTCTTACATCATATACAAGAATAAACTCAAAATGGATTAAAGACTTAAATGTAAGACTTTATACCATAAAAATTCTGGAACAAAACAGGGAATAAAATCTGGGACATTTCTCTTAGTAGTATTTTTTCTGATTTATCTCTTTAGTCAAGGGAAACAAAAGAAAAAAGTAAACAAATGGGACTACATCAAACTAAAAAGATTTTGCACAGGAAAGGAAACCATCAACAAAATGAATAGACAACCCACTGAATAGGAAAACATAATCACCAATGATACATTTGATAAAGGGTTAATATCCAAAATTTATAAAGAACTCAGACAACTCAACACCAAAAAAAAAATAAACAATCCAACTAAAAACTGGGCAGAGGACCTCAAAAGACATTTCTCCAAAGAGGACATACAGAGGGCTACTAGACATGTGAAAAGATGCTTGACATCACTAATCATCAGAGAGGTGTAAATTAAAACCAGAATGAGGTATCACCTCACACCTGTCAGAATGGCTGTCATCAGTAATCAGCAAACAAGAAGTGCTGACAAGGATGTAGAGAAAAGGGCACCCACAGGCATTGTTGGTGAGATTGAGAATCAGTATAGACATTTTGAGAAACAGTATGGAGGCTGTTAAAAAAATGAAAAAAAATCGAACAACCTTATGACTCAACAATTCCACTTCTGGGCATATATCCAAAGAAATCGAAAACACCAATTCAAAAAGATATATGCACCCTACA